AGTCATGATTTTCTTTTTGAAAAATTGATCTTTTCTCATTATCAAAACTTATATTGACGTTATACTATATAGGCGGTATCTGTTTTGGTTTGGGTGAATCGTATATCCACGGATATTTTTGGCTTTTTGACTCAAATATCACTAGAAATGAACATTTTTCTATGCCCATAAAAAAACGTGGATTTAACTTTTGGCGGCACAATATGGTAAGAAATTCGAGAAATGTCATATATTTTCAAGAGTTGATTTTAGGCGAAAATGGAAGAGGAAGAAAATGTTTGTAATTAATTTTTTTACAAAATATGACTAGTTACAAACTGAATGAATCATGATTATTATTGTAAAAATCGAAAAAATCGCCAAAAATGGGGTTAAAAAACATAACTTTTTTGGGTCTTTAAATTGGGTATATGACCTTCATACTTGGTTCAAGAAAACTTAATGTTATGTAGAATCATCACACCAAATTTCATCAAAATCGGTTCTATAGAATTTGCATAATAATTTTGCAATCTAATTTTGAAAAAAAAATTCGCAAAGGGCCAAGGCCCTTAGAAAATTTAATCACTTATAGAAGGGCTCTCAAGCTTTCAAACGATTTTTGAAAAATTCGAATCCGTTAATTAGGAGATATTTGGCGCTTGTTTAAATATTGGTCGAATTTTTGTACTTATAAACAATTAGAATAACTTTGTTATCGAATTCAATCGAATCAAATTTTTTAAAGCAGGTTTTAAAAGTTATTGGAAAGAAAAAAATTCCCTAAAAAGTAATGTTTTTTAACCCCATTTTTGACGATTTTTTCGATTTTTACAACAATAATCATGATTCATTCGATTTGTATATAACTAGTCATATTTTGTAAAAAATGTATTTTTTTCCTCTTCCATTTTCGCCTAAAATCAACTCTTGAAAAAATACATAATTAAATAGGAAGAAAAATATGACATTTTTCGAATTTTTTTAACATATTGTGCCGCCAAAAGTTAAGCCCACGTTTTTTTTTATGCGCACAGAAAAATGTTCATTTCTACTGATATTTGAAAGCCAAAAAGCCAAAGATCTCCGTAGATATACGATTCACCCAAATATGGACTTTTTGAAACAGATTTAATTTTCTTTTAAAGATGATATTTCCCTACTCTAAAATTTTGATAGATTCCCACTGAATTATATGAGCGTTTTCATTTAATCTTTGACTGAATCGTAAAAAATATAATCTGTAAAGAATCCAAAATCTGTGTAAATTTACATTTTTTATTAAATAAATATTTATATCTCTAGATAACATGCTTTATTTAACTTGCATGTAAAATGTGTTATGGAAGCTATATTTCCTATGTCATTGTTATAATCCTATATCATTGTTATAATAGAGTAGAGTAGAATATAAGAGCAATTACTTTTAGTCTCTATGCATCAAAAATGTATTACTTAATGTCGTAGTATTTTAATAAAATAATAATTGTGTAATAGTCTCATTGTGAATAATTAAATGACTTCAATTATAATTTTTTAAATTATTGTTTCGTTACGATAAATAAATAATAAAGGAAATCATCGTTTTCATATTAAAATAAATATTTTATCTCTTTTCCAAAGTGTTTGTTTACTTTCCAACATTTTATTTATTTTCTGCAAGCCCCTAAACAAGAGATAGATAGAATACATTACTGTTCAATTACCCCCTTTAAGTAAATGCGGACATATTTGAGTACTTTTTTAAATTTTTTTTTATATCCATTTCACTTTTTTATTATTCGCTTATGTATAATATTAAATGATTTTCCAAACTTACATCTTATGGTTAAGTACCATCTAGTACTCCACAGGGATCAATTCTAGGACCTATTCAATTTGCTGAATTCTTAAATGATTATTTTACAATTTAAAAATAGAAAGATCCGTAAAATGAGTCATTTCTTTATTTTATTCATTCTAAAAGAGGAATATAATTTTTACTATACATTTGGTCTGCTATAGCATTCATTTTATCAAATAATTATTATCCATTAAAAATTCTGGTATTTCCACCTAGCAGTAACGTAGACTTAGAGCGACCCTCGACCACATAACCCTTACAATCAATATTGACTCTGCTGGAGCCTTAAAACCTTCCGGTCTTACATCCGCTGCAGTTTGCATCCCGCTTACCTCAAAATCCGGATCTTAGACCAACTGTTTGTTTGAATTGTTATCAGATAGGTTTAAGGTACTTGGGCATTCCCATGGTTCAAATGAAAAAAGCATAAAAACAAAAGAAGGGAAAACTTTTCATTAGCATTAACATTTCCATCTGTCTTTAACTTTTTTCTATCTTTTATACAAGGTGTATAAACTATGATAAAAAAATTAAGCGGTAATTGCATTCTTGGAAATAATGATACAAATTTCTATAACATATTTAATATGATATGATTTTCTGTTAATAAGAGCCTATTAAGCATTTTAGAGCTTTATTTATCTTCAATAATAAATATTCGAAAATAAATTTAAAAAAAGGAACTAGACCATTATTTTCATGACTTAGAACCACACGCAGAAGCGGTATCCTATTCTCAGTTATATACTCAAACCAATGCTTCATTTTGTTCAGTATACCCTTAAGTATAATAATTATCGCAACTCCTATTACTGCGTTACTATATTTTAGAATATAACTTTACTGACCTAACTTAACACAATTGCCTTATATTCACAACATCAAAGTATTTTCAATATGTGTTAAATTCATATAAAACTGACATAACCAAAATAACTATTGCTGTATCCAGAATGATAAAGTAACCATATAATACTCATCTAATGTTGCGGGTGTCAAAATTGTAATTTGTAGTTCAGTTTTTCACATGTCTAACAATTCTAACATACCCTCTGTTTCATGCAACACATATCAAATAATTGTCTCAACCAGTCTATACTTTTAGAAAAACTCAACAACGTAGATCTCTACACGAGTCCAGTTAAATTATTTACTTTACACCTATGTAATCGATCCCAATATGTAAAGTCCCTTGGTTTTAAATCTATTACTTTCCTCCAAACATCAGGAGTTCCTCAAGGGTCCATACCTGGACCTCTTATATTCGTTATTTGTATCAATATTTTATCGCATTAACTCTTTTTTGGACTGTGGAAATCTTCAAAGCAATATTTCCTAACTTAATAACAAGTGCGGCAAAAACAAGTTACCTCTTAATATTAGCAAGTGCAATGTCATCTCTTTTCACACCAAAAAAAGTAGCTATAACAATTAATTATGTATTGACTGACATTTTTGACTCGGTGGTTATTTAGCGCCCAACGACCAACTCAAGTGAGTGCAAAAATCAATTTACCTCTATTTAGGACACATACTTCTGTTATTTTTTGCTAGATGGGGTTTATCTTATTCTACGAGAGGTTTTCCATAGAAATTATTCTACAACCTACAAAGTCTTGCCAACAAATGCACTATGTGCACTGTTTCAACTGTTATATTTCTATATAAAATCATTCATTATGAGATTAATGTCAATTTAAGTGCAGGAATAGTACTTTATGTTACCTTTTGTCCACACAAATATGCTATTAAAGTCGCCCTTATAACAAATGCTAAATAGTTTTAATGTTATGGAGAATTTCGACATTATTTCTTGTAATACGATTGGAATAAAAAAATATTTTCAATAGGTACATAAGTATTTTTTTTCTTTTTTATTTCGTCTTTCTTTTGTTGTTTTCCTTTTGTTATTTATACTATTTTAATATATTGATGTTGACGTTTATATCATATCTTGCTCTTTTATGGTTTGTACTGTTTGTTTTGTTTATATTTTTTAGTTCTTTGAACCGAATTTGAAACGTTCAAGTCAAATATCTCGCGCGCGACCGAGAGCGACGTCCACGCGCATGCGCGGGCTCGGCGCTCCTAACGCGTGCAGGCCGTTCATTAACGTTAACTTTTACTGCTGCTAGCGCGTTTATTACAAGAACTATCAATGTAAAACTTTCTGAAAATAAAAGTTTAATCCTTTCTTTAATGGTCTCTAAAATGCCAGTCCGATATGTCCAATAGTTAATTAACAATTAACGTTATAAAAGAGCTTATTTATTTAACATTTGTTTGTCGATTGTAGGTGTATTAATATTCAACAGCAACCAAAATTATTTCCGGTTCACCGGGAAAACCCGTATAGGAAACAGGCACTTTCCCTCTTCAGCGTACTTCCCTCCGGCGATAAGTTATATATTTTCAAGATAGCGTTATAAATTTGCGGTTTATAAAAAAAAATGGAAGGCTCACAACTTAAGCTACAACATTTAGAGAATGTGTTCGGTGTGTTATTTCTACGTGAATTTGTGTTTTTTGCTATTTTAGCTCACTATTGACTATGCTGTCCATGGTTAAACATTCTATTCGATTCTTATTGGAAGGACTATGTTTTCTGAGGTAACTGTTTTTAAAACGACGAAAATATGAACGAATCGTACTAGTGTGATATAAAACTTGGAGAAATTGTTGTTAAATTCATTGAAGCAGCATGTCATCCTTATTACTTTACTCTTATTTGTTGTTTGAAGGTGAATATGTATTTCACAACGTGTAACAGTTTTCATTTCGTGCGTATCATTTGCGGACCAATGTAGTTGCTGTTGTATGTTGCTTTGGCCTGTATAACAGTGACCTAGCTAATGACTTGGCTGAATTACAAAAGGATAGAATAAAAACATATTGTTATGAATTATAACTCGACTATTTATTTAATTAAAAAAAAAAATAAATTCAGTATTCAGGGGAAGACGTAGATCCCACCCCCTTCTGAAGTTACTCCCTGTTACTCTACCTCTCATTCTAATTGCAGGTATTAACCCAGAAGTTAGATTTGTGCGGAGGAGGGGGTGACATATCACTATTCGATAGCCCTCATGTAAAGCTGTTTATTGTTACCTACACAGATGATTTCTTTCAAAAATGTGCAGCAAATCTCTTGTATTTAACTTGTTCGTTTTGTTTTCAGAGTCCCCGACCTTCGGACTCGGACACCTCGGACAGTCACAGTGACAGCGAGGTGCCCGCTTCTTTGACACCTACCTCGAGGGGGTTGCTAAACAACAATCACCATCACAGGTAAGCACTTTCCAAGAGGGAATATCGGTTTGTCTAGGACAAACAGAGTTTTCTAACCTTGGCAATCCCGTTTTATGAAAGAGTAAGGAATACGTGAACCAGGGGCGGTTCCGTTAGGACGAAAGGGGTTTGGATTTCAAAAAAATCTCATAATTCTCGTTGGTCCAAAATGTAATTGTTGTTTTGGACGGTTGCAACTATGGCTGTATTTTTTTCGACAAATTTAAAGACATTGCAACTGGAAGAAAGACCTAAATCTTCCCTAATAAGTACAAGTTAAGACATTTTATTATTGATGCATTACTTAAATGTAAATGAGTAAAACCAAGATCGATACTTTATAAACTGTAATTATAGTACTACGTTTTAATTAACATATTGCAAGTCATAATTTGAAAAGGTGAATGGAGGTTTTCATATTTAAATTAATTAGAAGATACTTGTGTTTGCATAAGCTTTAGCAAAGGCTGAAAGATTAACAATATGATTCATATTGAGCATGAAATTGATGATACTACAGTATATGCATAGTAGATGCTAAAGCTAGAATTTCTTCCACTCTATTTTTTTCGTAAATAATAGAACAATATTTAATGTTTTTTTTTGTTTTAAGTTGAGATACTTTACAAGCTTTTTAAAGAAATATATTTTCATTACGTAAAAATAGGGTGATTTTTTTAATAATAAACTATTAAATAAACCAAAATTTATATAATTTACTTAGATTTAGATCACCAACTAAATATTTAAGAAGAAAATTTTATTTAATTATCATCAAATACTTGACATAAAAATTCAGAACAAATAGTGCTTCCGCAAAATATATAAACATTTAACTTTCAAATTATTGGAAGTAATTACTATGGCTGTCAGAGAGAGCCGCAATTCAATGGCGTACCAAGCGGATCAATCGACCATGCGCGAGCCGCTGCCTTAGAATGGTTTTTACGTTCACGTTAGTATACTGTTGCCTTGGGGTGAGTTTTGAATACATTGTTACAAATTGTACTAATTTACTGCTTATTTTCTACGTAATTTTTTTGATTACGCTTATCATGATGCGTGCGCCTATGTCCCGCGGCTCAGTTGTGACAGCCTTGGTAGGTAAATACGTACCAACTGTACGCGACAAGTTTATCAATCGATATACACCTTTAGGATCCCTTACATACCCCTACAGTGCTGTTAATTTACGAATCACCCTATACAGGGTGTTTCATAATTGGATATCAATATTGAAGGGTGTTAATCTGTGCGTGATTTTAAGACAAAAAGTTCATATAAACATAGGTCCGTTTTCGCTTTATTTTTGATATACAGGGTGATGAATATCTGTTTGTAAAATTTTTTTTTTTTAATAACTCCGAAACTAAATTAGATAGTTTTATAAAACTTAGTATGTGTAAACTAGGTGCAGAGACACGTCTTTTGCATAATAAACGAATTTTCATTTTTAACCAGTGGCGTCCCAATTAACTTCAACCTCATTATTTTGAATGAAAAAAATGATACGCCACTGCATTTTTGAAAAACAAAAATTATTGTATAAATGGTGCTTTATTTTGTAATAAAAAAGATCTCTTGAGTTTTTTTCTTATCTTGCACTGTTTTTTAGTAAAAAAATAAAGAACAACAATAATTATCTGTACGTGGAATGAAGTACTTTTTACACATTTTATGGAAATAATTCTTTTACTAGATAACTTATACACATTATTGTATAATATTATTAATAATTACGATTGACGATCAACAAATAACAATTTTGTGAAACGAAAAAAACAAACAATTACATCAGTTGTTGAAAATGCCCTCCACCTGCAAGGATACATGCTTCAGCTCTTCTTCTCATATTAGTGCGGACTCTTTGAAAAATGTTGTCAGTGTTCCTTATTACATCACAGGAAGCTCTTATGCGATTCCTCAGGTCTTCTACAGTGTTAACCGGAGTGTTGTAAACCAGAGTTTTCAGATGCCCCCATAAGAAGAAGTCCGCACTATTCAAATCTGGGGACCTGGGGGGCCATTGTTGGGGTCCACCACGGCCTACCCATCGGTCATGAAATGTGCGATTTAAATATTCTCTTGCTTCTCGATGGAAATGAGCTGGTGCACCATCATGCATGAACCACATTCTATTTCTAGTTAAAAGTGGCACTTCTTCAAGTAATACGGGCAAATCCTCCTCTAGAAACCGACGATATGTACGGCCGTCTAGCCTTTGTGGCAGAAAAAAAGGTCCAATTAAGTGATTTTCAACAATTCCAACCCAAACATTCACGGAAAATTGTTCTTGATTGTTAAAGTTCACAATTGCATGCGGGTTTTCTTCGGCCCAAACATGATTGTTATGGAAATTTCTTATAGCGTTTCTAGAGAAGTTAGCTTCGTCTGTAAACATTATTTCACAGTCAAACAAGGGATTTTGCGCAATTTTCTCCAAAAACCATTGACAAAAGTTGATTCGCAAAGGAAAATCTCGAGGAAGTAAGGCTTGGACCCGTTGAATATGATACGGGTATAACAGAAAATCGTGAAGAATTCTCCAAACTAGAATGTGCGAGATATTCAAGTTATTTCCAATTTGTCTAGTGCTAATATTAGGATTTTCATCAATTGAATTTAAAACTGCTTCTTCAACTTCTGGAGTTCTAGTAGTCCGATGGGCACCTTTTAATTGATTATTTGGCTTAAAAGTACCTGTTTCAGCCAACGTTCTATGTATGTTTGAGAATGTTCGTCTATCTGGTGTGACTCTATTCGGGAAACGCTCTTGATATAATCGTTTAGCCTCTGGCGCTCTGCCATCAGCCAAGCCATACATGTAATGAATGTCTGCCAACTCTTGATTAGTAAACTCAACCATTATCAAATAACACTGTACAGGTATTTTAAGTATCAAAATTGAGTTGAATGAACTGAACTGTCAAAATTAATAAATCACAACAGTAATCAACAACCACAGCCTACTAGGTAATCTTTATATCATGCTTTCTGTTTGGCTCAATGTGGGTTAGTATGTTGTTCTTTATTTTTTTACTAAAAAACAGTGCAAGATAAGAAAAAAACTCAAGAGATCTTTTTTATTACAAAATAAAGCACCATTTATACAATAATTTTTGTTTTTCAAAAATGCAGTGGCGTATCATTTTTTTCATTCAAAATAATGAGGTTGAAGTTAATTGGGACGCCACTGGTTAAAAATGAAAATTCGTTTATTATGCAAAAGACGTGTCTCTGCACCTAGTTTACACATACTAAGTTTTATAAAACTATCTAATTTAGTTTCGGAGTTATTAAAAAAAACAATTTTACAAACAGATATTCATCACCCTGTATATCAAGAATAAAGCGAAAACGGACCTATGTTTATATGAACTTTTTGTCTTAAAATCACGCACAGATTAACACCCTTCAATATTGACATACAATTATGAAACACCCTGTATACGAGAACTTAAAACTTATTACTATGCCCCCCGACCTTCCGAACAAGAGAAATCCGTACCAAAGATATTTCCTTCCGCAGGCCCAACGTGCAGCACCCGGTGACCCCACCCACGGCCATGACCACCATCGAGAACGTCTCCATGGCGGCGCTGGCGGTGGCAGCCCTCTCCGGGGCAAGCAGTCCCGGCGCCCCCGCGTCCCACCTACCCTTCTACAACCCCAACATGCTGACGCAGAACTGGTACCTGGCCAACGTCGCCAGGCAGTTCCAGACGGTGCCCGAGGACAAGGGGGGCGGAGGGGAGCAACCCCTGGACCTCAGCAAGGGCGGCAGCAGCAACACCAACGAGGCAGAGAAGCTCGTCATGAGCAACAGCGTGAACATGAGGCTGCCGACGTTGGACACGAAGCACATATTCAAGTAAGTGTCGTAAATATTTTTTTACTTTTAAAATAACATCCCCCCATCTACTACTTTATCTGACTTATGTACAGAGTGTACCAAAAAGACCCGAACCCCCTAGTAACTTTTCAGGATTGCCTATCAAAAAAAGATTAACATAAAAGTAGGTAGTAGGTTATCAAGAAACCAATACTCTTATGACCTTGGTTTTGACTTTGAACTTAAGCTTCAAGGTCAAATTAAGGTCAATTTGAAAATGTTAAATGGAATACTCTATTTTTAATGCCAATAATGAATAGAGCGCCAAGTTTTACGTCAGATAATTTTTCCCTATATCTTTGCAAATGATTGGGAAGTCAAAATCATTTTTCTCTGGATGTTTTAAACAAAATTTGTAGGATTTTGAATGACAAATTAGATGACCTAGAACTTTATTTGTTAACCTAACAGTGTTAAATTTCAAAATTGTTGTCAATATCATACTAACAGTTTTAGTTGAATACATATTAAGTTCTATTACTTTTATACCCATTTTTTTTTGTGAAAAAGTGGTTTAACCTTGAAATGACCTACAAGGACGTTTTAAGGACGATGGGGCTTTTGGGATTATTATGTCGTGACCTGTGTACCTGCTCAATTCCAGTTACAGAATTACCTTTCACTTTCTTAGCCTTAGCCAGGAACCTTTGACCTGTCCTTGTTGTTCTTGGGCTAGACTATGTGAGGGCCGACATGCTAGTAGAACCCCTAAGTCCGCCCTGATGTTCATTTCAGTTCTATTGGGTTTGAGGAGCGGCTCAGGAAATGGTGATCCTCTGAGACGTTTCGTAGTGGCCTCTACAGCTAGTCGCATACAATGCTTCCAAATGTGGCCGTTCTTCACTGTCAGTCTTCAGTGGTGATTCTGTAAATTCTTCGTCGCGACTGAGGTCGTCACCGGTCTTATAGCGTCGACATCGTCGCACGCGCAGGTAGACCGCCCTCACGTAGCCCAGCCCGAGAACAACCTTTTGAAAATCTTTTTATATTAGTATTTTCATTTCGTGTAGTTTTTAATATAGAATGAATTGAACCACAACGTTGGAAATTTCACTTTCACAACCTCGTATTCAAAATAAGCCAGTAACACATTTTCAGATACCTATTTTTTTATTTTCTTTACAATACACCACTTTTGGAACTAGATGTAAATTATTTTATATTATTTCGCCGATTTTTGAAAAAATATTACGTGTATACAGTCTGTCCAAGATAAGGATGGGCTAGCATTAGGATCTAGGAAACGGTAAGAGATACGGGGTAGCTGAAATTAGAAAAAAGTTGTGTTTTTTGTACCTGACAATATGCCGTTTAGAAAGTTTTAAAATTCCTGGTAGTTCCAGGATCGTTTTATTTTTTACCAGCTTTATTTGAAAACGATTTTAAAATAAATTGAATTTCACTCTATCCAATAGTATCAACATTTTTGCAATCCGACGTTTCTTCTGCGAGGGGCCATCATCAGGTTAATTTTTTTAAATACGTCGCTGCTAAAACAATCTTAAAACTTTTTAAGCGTTTACAATAGTAATATCTAATTCGGAATTAAAAATGGCTTTAGATTTTGTCATAAAAATGGAAGCGACGTATTTAAAAAAAATAACCTGATGATGATCCCTCGAAGAAGAAACGTCAGATTGCAAAAATGTTGATGCTATTAGATAGAGCAAAATTCAATTTATTTTAAAATCGTTTTCAAATAAAGCTGGTAAAAAATAAAACGATTTTGCATAATTTCGGGTTTTTCCGGATATCTCCGGAACTACCAGGAGTTTTAAAACTTTCTAAACGAAATATTGTTAAGTATAAAAAACACAACTTTTTTCTAATTTGAGCCACCCCATATCTCTTACCGTTTCCTAGATCCTAATGCTAGCCCATCCTTATCTTGGACACACTGTATAACAAATTTAAACTTTATACGCTAATTTTTTATAATTTTTGCTTCACAAAAATATACTTTGTGTCAATAAACATTTAATAAAAAAAAAACAAATTTAAACCTGCAACCTTATAATTTTTTTATGGAAATAAACAATGCTTTAAATTAACTTAATGTCGAGTATTTTCATCTCTGTTTCTTATTACATCCTCGCATCCGTGTTTCAATGCGGTTTTGTCCAGTTCATTCCACATTCCATGTGCCAAATCCTCCAAGACCTATTCAGATGATCTCTTAACTGCTTTCAATTCTATCGGATTGAGGTCTGGATACGCGCTGACCAAACCATATCACCAATCCCAACTTCTACGTTTTAGAAGTGTGTTAATTTCTTAAAGCAGTGTATTTTGTAATTTTCGTAACTTTTACGCCGCACTTTGTCTTAAATTCCACAAGCGACGGTGGTTTTTCGGCAATTAAAGCAAGAACTGGTAGATGATGGAACATTCTCAATTCATCTGAAATATTTAGGAGAGGCCCCATTTAGGATTTTATAATCTCAGTAGGTCGTTTCCTTCCTAATGTATATCTTCGCGTATATACTTTAAAACTCGGCTGTTAGCGTCCGGATATCGGTCTGACTGACATTTAATTCGTCCATTACTACACTGCACGTATATGTGCAGAATACCGGGTTTAGTTTTCATATTATAGTAAAAGATTGGAGATAAACGCCGCAATAAATGAGAAATATCTAGATGATACGACTCCATTTTCTGGAAATGGGATTTTTACGACTTATTTTAGTGTACACGTTATATTATACAGGAAACTGCTTTACTTTAGTTGTTTTTCTTTCCTTTATTGCGGCTTCATATTCGGGACATAAAATATAAAATAATACAATCGCGCCCATTACGTCGCTGGAACTAGAACAAAACCAGGGCCGAACCGATTAAATTTTGAGAAAAAAGTTAATTTTAAGTACGTAATCGCTAATTATTTAAAATGAATGCACAAATAAAGATGAAATAATTTTATCAAAATTGACCAGTTTTTTTAGTAAAAACATTCAGGCTGAGCCGGACCTGGCCATTAAACCTGTTATTTCTATAAATTTTCAAAATGACATTTAAAAATGTAACTAATGATTTTAAATCATTGTCAACTATATTAGTTTAACGCTGTCAAACTAAAAATAAAAAATTGTTATTTTTCTGTAAAAGATTTCTTCTAGAAAAAAATAACAAAATAAATTCTATGCAGATTGAAAGGTGATTCACTATATTTTGACCCCTCCTTTAACTTTTTTGTTTTATAAAAAAAATGAGAAATATGAAAGTTGCATTATTTTTAATGGATTTTTCGAAAATGATAGTAGAAAAACAAATGAAGTCCAAACAAAATGGCCGCGGATATTAACTTTGTTACTTTAAATGGAACACCTTGTATATTTTTACTTATTTGGATAGAACGTTCCCTGTCGAGCATAGTCATATATGGTTTCTTGGGTCCATCTCTAACAATAAGGATTAAAAAACGAAAAGGTTTTTTTTATTAAGAAAATACTCTTGTAATTGTTAGACCCCTTTCAGGCATTTCTGCCTTTTTTTCCAATTACGTAAGGATTCACAGATTTAGTTATAATATATTTTGATATATCGAACATTAATACGGTCCCAAAAGCGTATAGGTAATTTAACAAAATCTCACTAATAGGCCGTTAAAGGCCTAATTACTCATGGAAAATGTTATATGGTAGATCGTGACAGTGACAGTCATGTTGTTATGACTTACCTGTCACTATCACGACCTAGCATATAACATTGTCCATGAGTAATTAGGCCTCTCACGGCCTAATTAGTAAATTTTAGTTAAAATAGCTATACGCATTTTGGACCATATCAATGTCCGATCTGTCAAAATATATTACAACTAAATCTGTAAATCCTTACGTAATTGGAAAAAAGGCGGAAATGCCTTAAAGAGGTCTAACAATTACAAGATGTCTTATTTTCTTGATAAAAAAGGTCTTTTCTTTTTTTAATAGTATCTTGCTTATTATTAGAGATGGACCCAACAAACCCTATATGACTATGCTCAACAGGGAACGTTCTATTTAAATATGTAAACAAAAAAGTTAACGGGGACCAAAATATAGTGAATCGCCCTGTACATTATATTTTTGAATTGTCATTTTTTATTATTTCTTTTTTTATTTTTTAAATAATTATTAATATGGTAGGTCTCGAAAAAGTTTTTGTTTTAGAAAAGCTGTAAAAAAGAAACGGAAAATCCAAAAAAATTAACTCCTGTTAGATAAAAACTATTTTAATAAAAAAATAATCCGACCATTGCCCCTTTTAGAAAAAACTGATTAAGATTGTTAATGTATGTTCAGAATGACCAACAGGATATTGCTTTAGAATCAGAAGCATCAGGCAAAATAACCTTTTTTTTCTGAGCTCGATATTGTGTTGAAATTTGATTAAAAAACAATTTAATGTTGTTTCTTTAGTCATAGATAACTAATACTTTGTGTCTTTTCGTTGTTTACTAATGAAAAATTAAGATTTTTTTAATTTTTTGTTATTTTAAATAAAATATGTTATGTTTACAATATTATTATATTTTATTTTCTTTGAACTTTATTCCAGCGAAATGTACCTGGACAAATATTTTAATAAATATTTTTTCAACTGTTATTATTTCCAGTTCAACTTTTCCGTTTCTTCTAATTTTTGCAATTTTTTTTTGAGCATTGGATACCATGATATTTTCGGATTAGTCTTCAATTTTCTACAAATGACTATTTTCTTATGTTTTTCGAAAAAAAGCCTGATTTTCGAGTAAAACTTAAAAAACGAACTGAGAACATACTTTGATATTCGAATATAATGCTTTTAAAAATTACAAAGTGGGCTGCGATAGCAACTTTGACATTCCGAGCAGTTAGAAGAAAGAACAAATAATGCTTTTCATCAGATTCAAGCAATAATAAATTTCGAACAAATTACATTTTCGTTACTAAAATATGTCGGGCCTGTGTTCGTGGCAATGGAAGTATTTTTGAGCATTTACTCAAATAAAATCATTA